GTGTTCTGGAACTTCCAGAACACGGCCACACAGCCCGGAAGACCCACACCAGCCAAAAGAATACACCTCAACATAAGGGGCCTTTGGCAATTCTCTGCTAAATCTGTGGGTAGATAACTTGGATGGATTATTTCTTAAGGGGAGGATTCCTCCCTGAGAGGAATTCCCTTGTGATGCCCTATCTTGGGATCTAATTGTAATATAGGAAGGAGGTAAAATAGAAGGCAGGGCACCTGCATATAACTCTTGGTCACCTGATGATTAAATCTGTCCAATAATGTCACATTCCATTTATGAGAAATTCTCTAAAATTCTCTTCTCCTTTGACAAAAATTCTAAAGAAAATTCTTATTCATCAAACTGAATGAGAATTGGTAGAGACAAATACAAAATTTAACTGGCCATCCCTACAAACACACAGCTCTAGGTTCATTACTCCTCCCGCTACCTTCTAAAATCTGGAAAAGATGCTGCTGCTTTCTAAATGATAGTCTAATGTCAGCAGATGTTCCTGCTTCTAAGTCCAGACACTATTCTTTACCCCAACAAACCCACATTGCTTCCCTTGCTATCTGCCAGATCACCTGCTCACTGAGTTCACATTTTTAAAAGATCCTTTTAATTTTAACTGGGATGCTAGCATGCTGCAAAGCAAAGTGCCAGCTTTCACTCTCATCTTTATTCCTATAAATGCCTCTGTCTTCCTTATGGATTACAGAAGTATAAGAGGAGTGGGTAACCAGATTACTGCTTAAAAAATGGTCAGGTTCAAAGAAAAAGAGAAGAGTAAACTACAGAAATGGCACAAAATATCCTGGGGTGAGCAACTGCAGGGGATGACCGAAAACACTGTTATCCCTCTGCCATCTGATCTGATTATGTTTTTTGATGGTCCTCTCATGAAATGGCTATTACTGTTAGAACATTCTATTAAAATTTCAAATGTGGTCCATGGTACAAAAAGCACCAAAGGTTCATTAATGGAGCAGCCAAAACATGTGACAGTTCCTGATTTTATAATCGGCTCTAAATTTGACAAATGTAAGTAAGGTCTTCCCCAAACTATGCTGTACAATACTTCAGGAATAATTCAGAAAAAGTGCTTTGGGTATGTGGGAGCACAAATGGAGCACTTCTATGCTGATCTTTAAATTGGCTATGTCTTTTCCCTAAAACCTGGCATGTTTGAGATATTTTGAGAATACAGCTTGCAGAATTCTTAGCCAGCCCCAGAGGTTGAAGCCATAGTACTTCAGGAAGATACCAAGCCTGGGACCCTGAACATTACTGTAATGCACAACAGATAAAAGAGCATCCACATTCAGAGACAAGGCATTACCAAATACCAGATACTGGTGGTGTGAAAGAGGAGAAGGAGAGGGCTATTGCCTCTGTGCCCAACCCACGACTTCTGGATTACATGAACCTCTGGACTCATCCAGAGTGACTTCTATATTTTTCTTTCTATACAAGTTGAAGGCAGAGTTGCTTTAAGGATCCACCTCAAACGTTTTTTTCTCAATATTTAACAAATATGACTGCAGGAGAATGGAGCAAGTCAAGACATGCATTTGGCCCTCTTTGTAGGAAGGGAACAGATCCCTATAGCTAGGATTATGCTAAAGCCTAGTATATAAAGCTCCTATGAAATGACATTTCATCTTACCTGTGAGCCACAATAATAGTGGTGCGGTTGGCACATACTTTAGCCAGCGATGCCTGGATTTTTCTCTCCGTTTTGGTGTCCAATGCTGATGTTGCCTGTAAGAATCAGGTATATCTGCACATTGTAGCAGAGCAAAGGGGGAGATAGAGGAAGGTAGTGGACCCTGAGCCAATTATCGGTGTCAAGTCACTAGTATATCAGTACCTATTAAGTCACCAGTGTTGTTTTGGTGCCATGGCAAAGAACTGAGAGCTGCTCTTTGTAGTTCTACAGTATTGTTATTGCAAGGAGAACTGCCCAGGAACAGGTTACAAATGTGGGGGTCAGAGAAACACAGTTGTGAAGAATAACAGAACTGGTGATGTTACCCTCCTCCCAAATGCTCCCAGAATTCAGGCTTTGTTTAAAAAAAAAAAGAGAGATGGAGGGGCAAAATGCAAATGTAAGTTAGTCTCAGAAAGTGGGAAACAAACAGATAAAAGTATACCTGCAACACATGGTTGCAATGTGGAGTGCTTCTATTCAGGGTTCCAGTCAATCATGTCCTTTTCTAGGCTACTCCACTGGACATTAATTAAACTTGATTATTCTGTCCTCCTCCCTTCCATCAGCAAATATCCCATACCCAATTTGCGCGCTGTCTCTAATGAACGGGCAGGCCTTCTCTGGAACTCAGAACAGAGACAGGCATTAGGACACTGCTTCTCCTCTGTTACCTCATCGAACAAGATGATGTGAGGGTTCTTCAAGATGGTGCGGGCAATAGCAACTCGCTGTTTTTCCCCACCGCTCAGCTTCAGACCTCGCTCACCAACCTGCGTATCATAACCTTTCAGGCATAAGCACAGAGGAAAGTAAAACACTATGTAAAAAAGGAAGGTCACTGAGGTACAAATTGCTGCTTTCTACCTTTTGGGCAGAGCATTTTGAATCTTTATGGCTATTTCTAGTAGTGGCAACTCCATCCAGATTTACTAACAAAGGAAATCCGGTGTGACCTCAGACACTTTAGACCTGGCTCGGCCAGCTTGCATGGGGAGGTAAGAGTTTTAATCAATCCTGGGTGTGGCTGGCGCCCTGATGTCACTCCTTCTGTTCCCCAATCCCATCATTCTTGGAATTTATTTATCATTTATTTAAGACTGTTTTTATATTGTATTTTAATTGATTTTATCTCCTCTGTAAACTGCCCAGAGTCGCTTTTTAATGAGATGGGCGGTGACAAATTTGGTTGATTGATTGATTTATAGATAGATAAATAAATAAATCATTTTTTAAAAAATTCCAAGATTTCCTACGCAGGTCACTTAAAAATATGAAAAGGAAATAGGATTGTTTTGCAAACTGAGCTATAGAGGCAAATCCTGTTTCTTTCATTAGTCAAGATCTCATTGATCAGTTGGTTTTAGAGGATGGGTAGGATAGGGTGGGGCTGAACTGATTCGGTCTCTCATTTTTGATAACTGTTGGTTAACCTTCCCCATTTGACTTCCCAGATATGCCAGCCTACAATGTCCATACCCACAGAAAATGGGCTGGATGAGAATTGTAGGAATTTTTGTTCAAAGCACAGAGCCTGGTCATTGGTCTCTCTCCTGTTATCAGCCCAGCTGGTTTGATCCAACAGGGTTGGCGTGCTCTGGGTTCCTTCGATCAGGCATTGCCACTAACAGGACCTGAAAGCATGCCTTCTCTATCGCAGTGCCTGCCCTCTGGAATGAGGTTTCCCCCGAGATCATGGTGGCTCCCATCCTGATGGCATTCTGGGGGGTCTTGAAGACCTTGCTCTTCTCTCAAGCTTTAGGTTTTAGGCTAGGGTGGTTGGCACACCTTGTAGGATTTACGCATTGGCTGGATTTGCCACCTTATTCATTGTTTTTTAACTGGACTGAATATTGTTTTTTTATTCTGTGAGCTGCTCAGAGTTGACGGGAGTTGGGTGGTATCCAAGTCAAATAAACAAACAAACAAACAAGACTCATTTAGTTTAGCTCAGATAGGAACACAGGAAGTGCTTTTATACCAAATCAGGTTATTGGTCCACAGAGATCCAGAGCAGGCAAGCCATAGCTTACATGTGGACCACAAGTGTCTTTCCAGGTTGCACTGCTAATTACTGGCATCAAAATACAAAATTCAAACATTCAACAACATATTTATTTTTTTCCTATCCAAACAGATGGAAGATGTGAGCTAAATCTCATGGAGGTTTAATGCAGCTATTTCTCCTGAAATAAACTTTCCCCAGAAAAAAATAGGCTGAATATTTTGGCTCCTTCTCCTCTATTTACTACTATGTCCTCTGTAGCTTGTGGAGATCACAAAAATGTTTCTGGAAGGAAATAGTTGCTCAGCTGAAAAAAAACTGCCCATTCCAGTGTAGAGAGAGGCATCTACAAGACTTGAAGTTCTGACCAAAATTAGGAAAAGAGCATAATAATGATGCAATCCAAGTTATACTTTCTTTGTATATACATGCATGTATCTTGATGGTGCAATGCTGCTGTCATCATTTGACACACACACCCCTTTGATTCTCCCTCCCCCACCCCCTAACATCTATGAATGGAGATTGCTATTATTTTCACAGACCAACAGAGCTGTCAATGGTTTCAGTTCAGAATCTTTCCCAACTGTATCTACAGAAACTAAGGACTGAATGTGAGTCCTATGCTCAACCATCAAGCTACAATAAGAAAGCAGATATCCCAGTATAATCACATGGGATCTTACAACAGTGCAGGGGATAGAGTACAAGCTTTATGGCAAAGTAGTAGATAAAGCAGAGGTGGCCAGTAGCCCTTACCATCAGGAAATGTGAGGATACGATCATGGATATTAGCAGTCATGGCTGCCTCTATAACCTCTTCATTGGTAGCGTCAATACGACCATATCGGATGTTGTTGCGAATGGTATCATTGAAGAGGACAGTGTCCTGAGGCACTACACCAATATGGGAACGCACAGAGACCTGCTTTGCCTGTGGATGCAGACAGACGGAGGATGAAGTGAGAAACAGTACAATTCACCCAGATTATGGTTTGGAATATAGATGCCATCTTCACACCCCACCAGTGTGATGGATAGTTAGCTTCAGGCAGTACCCTGGAAGATAAAGTCACTATGAATTATCAGGGCTTCATATCCTGCACTGAGGTGGGGGAGCCCCAGCTGACACCACCTCAGAAAGCCCAGGGTACAACTCAGAGAGTTGGCATATCAAAGCAGCAGTTCAAAGCAACCTTCCCCTACCAGGTTCTTTTCTCATGTGCTGAGAGTGGAGGCCTAATCTATCTGGAAGGCACCTGTCTGAAGTAAGCCCAGCTTAAGACAACCTGAACATTCTCAGCATAGCTCAAGCATTAATGTTCTCAGCTTGCAGAATGCATTATGTGATTAATGACTCAGCTCAGCATCATTTATAGCTTTCAGAGCACTAGCTCAAGATTTATAGTCACATTGATGATATAAAAGGGAAGGCAGAGAACAAAGGAACGCAAGTGACTGCAGTGTTGCTGTTTTTTATCTAGAGAGTGCAGGCACTTTGAACGAGAAACCACTCCAAATAATGAACCGGCTCAATCAACTATCATCTCTGTGGAGTTTTGTTATTGTATGACAAATTCTAGGACAAAAAAAGCCTGTGGGACACTGTATTGTGAACATGCACTCATTGTAGGAAATATGTATCTTTCAGCCCTCCTCAGCTGCTTGTCATCTATCCCTAGATGCCATTTTATCCATATCTCCTTCCATTGCTTCCTAGACATTTATTCCAGTAACCAGGATTGATCTGTTAAATGAGACAGATCCTGCAGGAAAGTTATAATCATAAGGGATAATGGAGAGAAAATGAAGAGAGCAGATCTGGGGAACCACGATAGAATAAGAACAGATAGCAAACAGCTGTAGCAGATATGAAAGAACCAGTTGCTATTCTATCTCCTCCCAACACTGACCTCCCAAAGACCCTATGAAATATTAGCACCCAGATGTAGCATCTAAGAATCCCTCAGATACCCTGTAGTCCTTCTCAGTGAGCTTAGGTGGCCACAGGAGAGGTGGAGGCATGCTGAGCACAAACCTTTAATCCACCTTTAAATGGAATCATATGTCTGCTTTGCTGTGGCAACAAACATGAACAAGCAATTAAGTCTTGTGGAACTCTGAGAGGAGAAGCGTATGAAAGTGGGTGCATTTACACCCAAAGGTTAGATGCCAACTTGACTATATCAATGGGATCACTCCATACAGTAGGGGTGTGGCACCTATGGACCTCCAGGTATTGCTGATAGACAACTCCTAGCATCCTCTGCCACTCTGGATAAGGCTGCTGGGGGTTACAGTTTTGGTTTCTGGAGAGCCAGTTTTTCACTTGGACAACCATTCATCTTCTGAACCATAAAGCACAGGTAGCCAAGATACTCCTCTAGCTATTTTTACTTGACTTCACATACATAGTATGTGTGTGAGGGGTTAAACTACATGTATAACCCTGGGGCCTGCAAACAAATTCTCCTTGTCAAATAACGGTTTCTCAAATGGTTCCCATTCTATCCCTTTTGTAAGATCAAAAGCTATTTATTTATTTATTTATTTACCAATCAGTCAATCAAATTTGTCATTGTCCATCTCATTGGAACAACTCTGGGCAGTTTACAAAACAGTTAACATCAATTAAAATTACAATATATAATAGTCTTAAATAAATAGAAAATAAATAGATCCAAGAATAGATGTTAAAATTAGCAGCCACTTGGGGAGTGTCATCAAGGCATCAGCCACCCCCAGGACTGGGTAAGATTGTTGTCCTCCCATGTAAGCTGGCAGAACCAGGTCTTTAGTACCTAAACTTGTTTTCCTGGGGAGCTGGAATCTTCTTTCTTCTGATAGAAGAAAGTATTTCTTTAGATTTGCGCTGTCAACACAGACTTTTTCCCCCAAAGTCCATTCTTCCTAACATTTCATGGTACTTCCTAGCTGCTCAAATAGCATTTTGAAGTTAACTTCTTCAAAATCTCCAATTAATTGCTTCAACCATTCAAATGATTTGGTGCTGCTAAGAGTCCTGATCATTGTTAGATAAGTTTAAAAACACCAGTCTCAGTAGAGATCCTGGGAGGACATCTGATTATATTCTGCTGCTGACTTGGCCCCGACACAGTAATGTAAAGAAGTACATACAGTGGGGCAAAAAAGTATTTAGTTAGCCACCAATTGTGCAAGTTCTCCCACTTAAAAAGATGAAAGAGGCCTGTAAGACCTCAACTATGAGAGACAAAATGGGGGAAAAAATCCAGAAAATCACATTGTCATTGCCAACAAAGGATATATAACAAAGTATTGAGATGAACTTTTGATATTGACCAA